AGAAATCGGAGCCCAAATCGGAATCCGAAATCGAATCGAATCGGAATCGGAAGCCACCATAATCGAATCGGATCGAATTGGAGGAATCGAAACGAGCCCTGGCCGGGGGGGTCCTGGTGCCGATCCGAGAAAGCCGCGCAGACGTCCGAAAGTGGACGTTCGTGCCACCACTTGGGCGACGAGCCTTGTGCCAGAGGACGTGGCTACCTCACGCCGCCGCTGACGCCGGCCGCCCGCGCGGCACACCGCGTGGAGAAGAGAGGGCGCTCGAGCGCGGCCTCGCGCGGGAAGCCCACGCGCGAATGCCCGCGCGCTTGGACCCGCTCTGGGAGAATCGAATGGCACCCATACCGCTACTCCCCGGACCTCTCCCGGGGTGCGCTCCGACCGGCATTCACTCCCGGGCGACCTCGGCGGGGGCGCCGAGCGCCTCCCGGGAGGCGCCAGCGAGGGGAGCACGAGGCAGGCTGGCACCATACGCGCACCTCTTCCTCCCCTGATATGAGGGGCAACGATAGGGGGGGGGTCTGGCATACGGGGGGATGCATCGACCTGGAATCGGCGATGCATCGCCGATAGATCGGCGATAGGCCACTGATAGTGAATCCGCACCTTCCTGGGCAGCTTGGGGCTATCGGGCCCTTGTCGGCGATAAAAGGGCGATTGGGGGCCGATGCATCCCCCCCTATGCCTATCCCCCCTATTGTTGCCCGTGGTGATAGCGGCATGCGCACCTCTTCCTCCCCTGAGCTCACGCCCTCCCACTGTTCCTCTCCGACCTCAGCAGCAGCCCGCGCCGCTCCGCGACCGCGGCGGGGTTGGCGAAGAAGAGCAGGCGCCGCCGCCGCCTCCGGTCGCCCCGCCTCCCCGGCGCCCCGCCCCGGCGCCAGCCCGGCTCCCCGAGGACCTCGAGGGGGCCCCAGGGACACACGAATGGACAGACACAAATCCCGGGCTCCCCCGTATTTTCTCATACGTCCTGGCGCTTCGCCTTCGCCCCCCCGTCCCACATTTCCCCATGTGTTCCTGGCAATCGACGAGGACTCGTGCCTGTGTGTGGGTGTATTGTTGACCCCCCCCTGGACCTCGTGCGCCACCATGGCGCCCTGGCAGCCGTGCGCGAAGGGCTCCGTGAGCTCGGGGTGCCGCACGGCCCGGCCCGTGAGGGTACGGCCGCCGTCGGCCGACCTGCTCAGCACGCGCCTGGGGCGGCGCGCGCCGGGGGGCACAGGCGAGCCCAGGATCGAGTCGAGGAGTCGGATCGGCGATCGGAATGAATCGGATCGGCAGAAATCGGCAGCCAGGCTGCCATGCCTCCCATGAGAAATCGGAACCCAGCTCGGAATCCAAAGTCGAATCGAGTCGGAATCGGAAGCCTTCGAAGTCGAAGCGAATCGAGTCGGGGGGATCGAAACGAGCCCTGGAGGGGGGGAGGCTGCTTGGATGGAGGGCTGGTTCTTGGGAGGCGCGGGCCTTCCATCTATAGATGTAAGGCCCGCGCCTTCCAAGAAGCAGGAAGGCTTCTAGGAAGCCTCTTCCCCCCTCCCCCAAAGTAACCCCCCCCCTTCGCGTGGCCGGCGCCTGTGGATCCTGTCGCCGTGGGACTGCCACTCGCGGCTGTTCAGCAGCACGGTCGCGTTGCTCAGCTCCGCCACAGCGCACTCGTTGGTGCCCTGCCCCGCCACCGCACCCAGCTGCCACGTGGCGCCGAGGTTGTCGCTGTCAGGAGAAGAAAAATCTCGCCATCGCTCGGGCGCCCATTCCTCGCGCATGCTTCGGTTTCGTGCGAGCATCCTGTCGCAAGGTGACCCAGAATGCGCTTCGATGGTTCTTGCCGAGAGCCAAAACACACGTCCGAGCGATGCCCAGAAAACGGCGCCAACACACAAACTTTCGGAGCGCCGAGCGGATTCCCTGGATCGGCGCTGGGCCCCCTGGCGGCGCGCCCCCAGCGCCGCCCCTGGCGTGCTCCGCGCCGCCCAGGGAGGAGCGCCCAGCGCCGATCCTGGGGAGAGCAACAGGTACCGATACCGCAACTCCCCGGACCTCTCCCGGGATGCGTTCCGACCAGGACTTCGAGGCGAATCCAGCGGTGGCGACGAGAGCCGCCCAGGAGGCCCAGAGAGGGGAGAACGAGGGAAGGGCAGAGGTATGGGTACCTTTTCCCCCTCTGAGATCCAGGGAATCCTCTCGGACCCTCGAAACGGTGTGTGCATCTGCCGCTGCTTCTTCTCCGAGCTGTAGATCATGTGCGAGCGCACCAGGAGCAGGCCCTTCGCCGTGTCGGCCACGTGGTCGCAAGGCACGACCAGCCGCCCCGCGTGCTGGCCGTGGCGGAGCTGGATCCCGGCGCCCGGGCCGGTGGCGTACCAGGTCCACGCCTCGTGCTGCTCTTAGATCGGGCACGTCCCCCTACAGTCGGATTTGCGGGGGCGAAAAAACTCAAACCAAATACTTTTGTATTTGTTTTTTTTGAGAAATGACCAAACGAATAAACGCAAAATCGTCCCCAGACTATTTGATCGACTACTTGGGGATATTCCTCCTGTCGAGGGACGTGCCCGGCACAATGCTGCTCCCATCGTACGCGAGGACCCCCTCCCAGAAACAATCAATTCGAGCACCTAAGAGAAAAGCATCGAGCATCGCCGCCCAGGGCCCGACACGTGAACACCCTCCAATTTCGGTACCTTCTTGGTGCTCGGAATTATTCTGGCGGTCCAGGCTTAGGTAGGCTGGAACACCGTGGTCCACACCAAACATGCTCCAAGACCAGAGAAGCAATGTTCTTGGAACAGAAGCCCGCTGTGATAAAACAAGACAGTCTCAGCCAGAAATGTTCTGAGAACATGTCGTGCAGACCACAGAAGGTTATTAGCACATTCTTTGGTAGGCCTATAGGCGAGCTAGGATTATGTCGGGCGTGTCCCCCTACAGGGGGACGTTCGACGAAAAATCAGAAATACCCCAAAAATGCCCCAAAAAGCCCAGAAAATACTCAAAAAATAGTCCTCAGACTATGTTTGGACTATTGATTTGACTATGTTCGGGGTTATTTTTGTTTTTCGTCGAAAATGCCCCTGTAGGGGGACAGGCCCGACTTAAAGCTAGGACGCTTCGACCCTGCTCGAGCCTCCCGCTTCGTGGTCCGCGTGATGTTGCGCGGCCGGCTCCACGTGGCGCCGCCGTCGAAGCTCTCCGTGGCGTGCGGCCAGCGGCTCCCCCGGGACTTGCGGTCCCAGATCGACCCCTCCGTGTCGTTGGCGTACTGCGCGGTGAAGAGGAGCACCTGGGGGAACGAGAGGGTACAGGGCAGTTTTTAATACAGTTTTAATACATTGGATGTGTAAAACATCGGATTTTTAATACATGACAAATTTATGGTTAAATATATGCATCAACTCCTCCTTGTTTTTAGTGCTAACTCCCTGCATGTTTAATGCATGATCCGCACGCGGGTATTAAAGAGCACTGTACAGTGGAGGCCAGTCCACAAGAAACCTTCCACAAGAAACCCAACCCTGAGACCTCAGGACGTCCATGGATGTTCAAAGTGGGAAAGTCACGCTTCCCATCGCAAAATCACCGAAACCCACGAAACCCAGGACACCCTGGAAGCAAGAAGGATGTTTCCTGGCATGTGTCCCCACTGTACCCGCGCGTCGAAAGAAGCAGGTGGAAACATGAAGCTGGAGGGCGCTGAAAGTAGATTGGGCTCGGACCCGCCCAAGGAGTACAAAAACAATAACAACAGATCGATGATTGAAGTAGGAAGGCGCTTGAAGCAGATTGTGATCTGGGGATCCAACTTCCTGCTTTCGACGACCACCGAGTACCGGGGCCTCTCCCAGGGCGCGTGCTGACCAGGATCTCGAAGCGGGTCCAGCCGCGGCGACGAGGGGCGGGCGGCGGCATCGGTATGTTCTCCTCCTCCTGGGCACCACCCTGCTGTCGCCGCCGGAGGGGCCCGTCGCAAACAGCGCAGTGGGGTTCCCCATGGCGAGCTCCGCCCCCGGCATGCCGAGGTCGGCCGGCGAGAAGATAGAGGAACAAACGAATGCACAAGCATACAGTCAACCCGTATGGTAAGGATGCGGGATAAGGATGCAAGGGCCTTGGGCACCCACTTCGAGGTCTTTCGGGCGGGGCGCGGCCAGCGCCAGTGGCCAAGGCTGGGCCGAGGAGGCAAGGATGCGAGGCTACCCCTCGAGAAGGCTGCCCATCCTTCCTCAGCGGGTTGACTGGAAGCTTTCGGAGGTCCGCGCGGATGTCTTGCCTCGGCGCTGGACCTCCCTCCCTGGCGAGCGCAGCGCGCAAGGGCAGCTGGGCGCCGGAGGCGCCGCCAGGGGGGCTCCAGCGCCGACCTGCGGGATCCGCGCGGACCTCCGAGAGCGTGCCCGTCGGTCGGGAGTGGCGGGCAGAAACGCGAAGCAGGAACGCGTTGGAAGCAGCTTGGGCTTCCGCCCGCCCCCTCAAGAGGAAGGAGAAGGCGAAACCACTCGATCAGTGAAGGCGCCTAAAGCAGATCGGGATCCGAAAACTCAGAGGTACCTCCTTCCAACGATCGACGCGTGCTTGTGCCAACTTTTGCTCCCCGAGCAGAGCGTGCGCAGCGGGGACCAGGAGCGCCCGAGGTCCGTGCTCCTGCGCATGGTGAGCTCGATGTGGCCCCAGTCCGCTGCGCCCTGCAGGCGGTGCTCCGCGAAGGCCAGCAGCACCCCCCGCGGCGCGCCGGGGTTGGGCATCCACACGAGGCTGGGAATGCCCAGGCCGGACGAAGCTGGGGGCGGGGCAGACTGGCAGGCAACTCCTGGAGGGTCTTCCTGAGAATGGTTGAGGGCGATTCGGCCTGATTGAGGGGCCGCTGGGCGGATCGAGGCGGATGCAACGGGAGCAAGCCAAATGTAAACAAGGGGAGAGCCACATGAAACGGGGCTTGGCCAGATTCAGCAAGTTTCCGACCAGGGACCTGCCAACGCCAACTCCGAACTGAACTGCACCTCCCAGGAGCTGCATCCATAGGGGGGGGCTCCGAGAATCAGCTCACGCAAGTAACTGGTGTTTCCTGGCGCCTCCTGGCGCCAGAGCTATGTCGGGCGTGTCCCCCTACGGAATTTGTCGACGAAAAATGATAATAAACAAATAATAATGAATACCCCAAAAATACCCCAGAAGGCCAAAAAACAGTCCAAAAATAGTCCCCAGACTATGTTGCACTATTTTTGGATTATTTTGAGGGTATTTGTTTTTCGTCGAAAATCCCCCTGTAGGGGGACAGGCCCGACTTCACGCCAGAGGCGCGCTCATGCATCAGGGAGAGCGCCCGGCTGCGGAGCCGGCACCGGCCAGCTCACAGCAGTCCCCTTGCCCTGCCCTTCCGGGAGGGCCGAACAAAAAATAGCACCAGGACCTCGACGTCGAAATTCCAGTCGAGGTTTCAGGGAGTCCAGCTCAAAGCAGCCGGCTTCATCCCCCGTCCGCTTGCCCTGACCTTCCAGGAGGGCCTAAAAATAGCACCAGGGCCTCGACATCGAAATTCCAGTCGAGGTTTCAGGCGGTCCAGGTAGGTCTACAGCTCTGGAGGGCAGTGTTGCACGACTCCGGAAGGTCAGGGTTGCCCATCCCCCCCACTCGTCCGACACGGGATGCGGAAGACCCTGCCGCTGGCGTTCTCACTGACGTTGTCGGACTCGAACACCGCCGGCCACGACGCCGCAGCCTCGCCTGCAAAGGAAGAACGATTAGGGGAACAAAAAGTGGCATAAACATAAAAACTCGGAGGTCCGCGCGGCTTTGTCGAATCGGCACTGGACCCCCCTCCCTGGCGCGCGGAGCGCGCCAGGGGCGGCGCCGCAGGCGCCGCCGCGGGGCCCCAGCGCCGATCCGAGAAATCCGCGCGGACCTCCGAGTTCTTATGTTTATATCACGTCTTGTGCCCCCAACGACGCTGCACAGACACAAGGCTCTCGAAGCTCCGAGCGGGCCCCCGGGTCGGAGCTGGACACGCCCGCTTCCCTCGCGCCTTCGGCGCGTCAGAGGGCGACGGCAACAGCGCCGCCGGGGCGGGGTCCAGCGCCGGCTCCAGGAGAGCCGCGCGGACAGCCGCGAAAGGCTTGCGCAGGGGCTGGGAGGTGAACAAGTCCATCGCCTGGGGAGCACATGCCCGAGGACCCAAGGAGTGCGATATACATTTGGGCCCAGGGGGGAGAAGGGCTGTGTATCCACAGCCACCGCCCTCCGAGGTCCAGGCCAGGAGGATCGGTGCCTCGGCCTGTGGATACGCACAGGCGAGCACGTGCGAGCCCTACCCTTGCTGGTCATACTCTGCAGCGCTGGCGGGAGGTCGGAGTGTAAAGGATGTCGGCAGCCAAGTTGGGGGGCCACATGCGAACCCTACCCCTACCCCCCACGATTTCTGAGGGCGAGGGTGGGGTTACTTGGTTCGGGAGCTCCCGAGCGAAGTGAACCCCCCACAAGTGGACCCCAGCGGGGGTGCCCGGTGCTCCAGCGCCCCACGGACCTGCAGGGGTCGGGGCAGGGTTCGCCAGTGAGCGCCGATGGAGGTCGCCCGTGGCCCAAAACGTCAGCTTTCGGAGGTCCGCGTGGGCTTCTTGGATCGGCGCTGGACCCCCAACTCCTGACGAGTGGAGTGCGCCAGGAGCAGCGCCGGAGACGTCGCCAGGGGGGCCCAGCGCCGACCGAAGAAGTCCGCGCAAGCCTTCTGACTCCTCCTCCTCTTCTTACTATTATTCTTCTTCTGACTCCTCCTCCTCTTCTTCGAGCTTCGAGCGTATTCTTCTATCGCGGCCATAACGGGCATTTTGGGGGGGAGAGGGGGGAGAGCGGGCGGCAGGGGTCATAACGTGGCGCCCCCCCCCCCAGACTGTGGTGCCGGACGCAGTGAGACAGTGCCGGGGACGCACTGAGGGGGGGAGCGTTCCGTTATGGGGGCGGGTGGGAGGTGGGCGGGGAGGGTAGGGGGCATAACGCGCGTTGTGGCCGAGAGGGCTTTAAAAAAAACATGTTTGTTCGCGCACGTCGGGCCCTACCCCAGGCGTCGTGGGGCTGTGGAATGGACCACAACTTGGGGGCCCAACCCTGGGATATACGATGGGGGGGGCGTCCATCCTCGATACTGAGGGGTGCGTCCGAAGAGCCCCCTTGGGGTGCATCCCATGGCGCCCCTCCTTTTCTGAGCGGCCTCATTCTTTTCGTCGCAGGGTCGGGGGCTGGGGGCTGGGGGAGGGTAATTACCCAGACCCCCGACGTCGTGATTTTTTCATGACGCGACCTCCAAAGGTCTCGACCTATTCTCCAGGACCGGTTTCTCGTCCAGAATCGTTTTTTGACTGTCCCGAGGGCTGGTAAGGGCCCCAAAGCCGAAAATAGAGAGAAAAACCTCCCGTCGTGATTTTTCCACGACTCGAGGCGGTCTGGGCATAAAGAGCCTGCGATCCTCCTCCTCCTCCTCCTCCTCCTCCTCCTCCTCCTCCTCCTCCTCCTCCTCCCTCCCCCTCCTCCTCCTCCTCCTTCTCCTCCTGCTCCTCCTCCTCCTCCTCCTCCTCGAGCTCCTGTGCACGTCGGGCCTGGGGCGCCCCCCTCCGCGCTCCAGCCAGCAATCTCCGCCTCCGCGCTCCCCGCCGGGCTCCAGCGGCGGTGGGCCCCCGCCGGCGGCCACGCGGCGCCGTCGCCGCCGCCGCCGGGCGCCTGCTCGGGAACCGGGGGGGTGGCGGTCTGCCCTGCGCCAGCCAAGAATAAGCACAGACACCCTCCTCCTCCTCCTCCTCCTCCTCTCCTCCTCCTCCTCCTCCTCCTCCTCCTCCTCCTCCTCCTCCTCCTCCTCCTCCTCCTGCCTCCTCCTGCCTCCTCCTGCCTCCTCCTGCCTCCTGCTGCGGAATGCCTTTTACCCGTGAGCCAACCAGCGCGGCAGCTCTCTCTCTCTCTCTCCGCACGCCGCCCTGCCGTGCTGGGGCGACGAGGCGGGGATGGCGCCGCGGAGGGGCGCGCACGACAGGCAGGGAGAAAGGGAAAGAGAAGCGGGAAACCTGACGCACATGACCCCTCGGAGTCCGCAGGCTGATCAGACCTACGTACTGCGTACAAGGATTAGTCTAGCAAAGTGCAATTATATACCACAAAAGGTTCGTGCAATGGCCAGCCCATAAATGTGTAAACCGTCGGTGTGTGTACTGTACTTAGGCGTTCCTAGATACCGGGCGCGCCCCGATGGGGCAACGGCCCTCAGTCGTAGACGGTGGTGCGCCGGACGATTTCGAAGTAGTTCCTGGGGGTGTTCCGCTTGACTTCGGCGTCGTCGTCTTCAGAGCGGCCCGCAAGGCTCGCTTGTTCTCGTTGCGGTTGTGTTGCTTTCGGTCCCTCTGCTTGTCGGAGAGCGGCGGGCGCTGGAAACAGCGCTTATGCTGACGAGGTAGCTCCTCCTCTGCCTGAGCCGTCGCTCCCTGCAAGATGTCCTCGGTCAAATCGGGCACGTCTTTGACGAGGTAGTCACGGCGTAGGGTGTCCAAACCAAGCCCTGTCTCAGAAACGAGCGTAAAGGGACTTTCGATATTGCAGCAGACCTCGTGCACAAGATCACCGTACCGGGCGTCCCTGGAGACTCGCACCTCGAAGCTGTCCCCGGAGAGCGGGTTGAGACACTGTGCGATGAAATAATCATCATCCGAGCTGTCGATTGTAACCTGAATGATCGTTGACGGGGCAAGGTTCGCCGGTGAAGTCGCAGATGTTGTCGTAACCAGTGGTCGTGGATCGTGTTTGGCTCGTTTCCGTGCATGTTCGTGTCTGGCGGCGACCCAAATGGGCACTCCTGCGCCCACGTCGGCCCGGAAGCGGACAGATCCAGCCGGCCGTGATACAACAGCGCAGCTGTCCTTGTCAGGCTTCTTGGCCCGGGCGTCCGCCCGAAGCTGCTCGGCGAGGCGGTCAGCTTTCCACAACTGCTGAGCCTGGAGGTCCTCCAAGACCATCTGCCGCTTCCGCTGCGCTGGGCGATCCGTGTCGCACCGGCTTGCTGTCAGAGCAAAATACTCCGCGTTGTCCAGCCCGACCGCGCGAGCGACGGTAGCAGCCATCCCCTGGCCAGGCGGTAGTGCCATCGGCGCTATGGGACGCGAGGCGGAGGAAGAGTCAGGGGCC